TACAAAGTAAGATTAGGAATAAGGCAAGGATGCTCACTATTTCTATGATTGCTTAATATTGCACTGAAAGTATTAGAAAATGCAATTAGACAGGAAAACATAATTAGAAGAGAAAAACTGGAAAAGAATAAGTAAGTGATATCTTTTTATGGATAATGTGTGCTTAGAAAACCCCAGAGAACCTATGCTACAAACAAGCTCCAGCATTAACAGAATGCAGTAAGTTTACAGGATACAGAATAAACATAAAGAAATTAGTAGATAAAACAACAACTAAAAATCAACCTATAATAGTAACAAATAAGACAAATATGCCCTAAGAAAGGAATGAAAAAGTAAAACATTCCTGAAAGACACAAAAGTATAAAACAACTATGAGATATCATCTCACTCCAGCAACAATAGCAAACTTCAACAGGGCAGCAAACAATAAATGCAGGTGAGGCTGTAGAATGATTGGAATTCTTATTCACTGCTTGTGGGAGTGTGAAATGGTGCAACTACTATGGAAGGTGGTCTGGTGCTTCCTCAAAAGCTGGAAATAAAAATACCATTTGACCCAGCAATGCCACTGCTAGGAATATATCCCAAAGAAACCAGAGCCATGACTCAAACAGATACATGCACACCTATGTTTATCACTGCATTATAACAACAACAATTCACAATAACAAAGAGATGTAAGCAACCCACATGCCCATCAACAAACAAATGGATAGAAACACTCTGGTATACTCACACAATGGAATATTCACAGTATAAGAAAAACAACAACAATGAACTCGTAAAACATTATACAACATGAGGGAACCTAAAGACATTATGAGGAGTGAAATATCTCAGTCACGAAAGGACAAACACTGCATATCACCGCTGCTATAAAATAGAACAGACATGGGGCATCGGGGAGAGAATGTGGAAAGAGTGGATAGATAATGAACACCCCAGTAGATGAGATTAGACTCCATTAGATCAGATGAGAGGAAGAACTGTCCAAAAGGAATATATGATTATATATTATGTGCACAACAACAATCTAGAATAAGGGTGCATTGCAGGGTGGCCTAGAGGGGGAAGAAAATGTGCAACAGTGAATAAAAAGTAAAATTAAATAAAAATTTTTGAAAGAAAAATACAAAAGTAGATATGACTTTTGTCCTCAGTTGTTGTTATGTTGTTGTTTTTATTATGTGCCATCAAGTTGCCTGTGACTCACAGTGACCTTATGTTCCTCTATGAAGAGGAAAATCTTCAATGGAACCCAACAACAAGAATGTACGTGCACAAATGACAGACCAATGGAATAGAATAGGAAGCGGATCAATAGACCCAAGTACTTTTGACTGTGTGGATCGCAACAGACTGTGGCTGACTCTGAGAATAATGTGAATCCCAGAACATTTGATTGTGCTTATGTGAAACTTATATTTGAACCAAGAGGCAGTCATCAGAAAAGAGCAAGGAAACACTGAATGTTTTAAAATCTGAAAGGGTGTCCACCAAGGATGTATTCTGGCTCCATACCTTGTCAATTTGTATGCAGAACAGATTATCCAGGATGCTGGGCTGTACGAGGAGGAATGTGGCATCAGAATTGGAGGAAGATTCATCAACAACCTATGTTATGCAGATGATACAACCCTGCTTACTAAAACTGAGGAGGCCCTGAAGTGCTTGCTGCAGCCTTCAATATGGATTGAAGCTCAACATCAAGAAAACAAATATTCTCACCACTGGATCAATTGGCAGCATCATTATGGATGGTGAACAGATTGAGATTGTTAACAGTTTTGGTTTGCTTGGTTCCACAATCAATATTCTTGGTACCAGGAGCGAGGAAATCAAGAGACAAATTGCACTGGAAAAGTCAGCTGTCAGGAACCTCTCCAGAGTACTGAAAAGCAATGATGTCAGGCTGGAGACTAAGGTGTTGCTTGATCCAGGCCATAGTCTTTGCAATTGCATGATATGCATCAGAAAGCTGGAAAGTGAATGGGGATGATAGAAAGAGAAAAGATGCCTTTGAGCTGAGAAGAGTGTTGAATATATCGTGGACTGCTAGGAGAACAAACAGGTTCGTGAGAGGGTGAAACTGGGCTGCTCCTTGGAGGCAAGGATTATGAAGCTTCGTCTGACATACTTTGGGCATGCTGTAAGGAGGGACCAGTCCTTGGAGAGGGACGTCATGTTTGGGAGGGTGGAGGGACATCGCAAGAGATGAAGACCCTTAATGAGATGGATCAATTCAGTGACTGGGTTAATAGGAGTAGGTGTGTCGGAGACAGAGAGGTTGGCACAGGACAGACAGGTTTTAGGGCTCTTGTACATAGGGTCGCTATGAGTCGCAAGTGACTCGACAGCACATAACAACAACAACAACATATGAATAGTTAATATAGAAAAGGGAGTTCTGGGAGCATAATCTATAATGTAATAATGTGCTGCTAATCTAAAGGCCACACGTCTCCAGCGATTCTGCAGGAGACAAATGGGCAGTCCCTTCCTCTTAAGTTTTACAGGCTTGAAGCCTGGTGGAGGCTTGACTCGGAATAGACTCAATGGCAATAGGGTAAGTTTCGAGTTGGTGTTGGTTTAGGAGCAACTGGTCAGCCAAATTGGAAGAAGATAAAATTAGTTCCACACACACACCTTATATAAGTCATGCTTCAAGGACATAAATCCATAAAAACGAACTCATATAAGAACCAGAAAGGAACATCAATATAGAGGAAGACTTTCTATGACTCAAAATCCAGGACCATAAAAGAAAATATTGGCATATTGTTTCAAGGTCTTTTACTCAAATTACAATAAAAAGGGAGATAAAAAAAAATTACTCCCTGTGGTGTCAAAGTCAATTGGAAGAAGCAAGCTCATGGTTTTTAACAGAGAGATTAATAGAAAGATATAGAAATAGATGTGCTATTGTTGTTGTTGTTGTTATGTGCTGTCAAGTCAACATAGTGACCCTGTATACAACAGCTTTGAAACCTGCTCTATCTTGAGCCAACTTCTCTGCCTCTGACATACCTACACTATTACCACGATCATTGAGTCAATGCATTTCATCCAGGGTCTTCCTCTCTTGTGCTGTCCCTCTACTCTTCTAAGCATGATGTCCAGGACTGGTCCCTCCTTGCAACATGGCCGTAGTATGTTAGATGGAGTGTCAAAATCCTTGCCTCCAAGGAGGAGCCGGGTTTCTCCCTCTCCAGGACAATTGTTTGTTCTCTTTGCAGTCCATGGTATGTTCAATACTCTTTTTCAGCACAACTTAAAGGCATCAATTCTTTTATCTTCCTTAGTTATTGTCCAGCTCTCTGATACATAGCAAGTAATTGCAAAGACCATGGGCTGGATCAGGTGCCCCTTAGTCTCTAGACTGACATCATTGCTCTTCAGCACTCTGGAGAGGTTTCTAACAGCTGACTTCCCCAGTACAATTCATCTTTTGATTTCCTGGCTACTGCTACCAAGGGTGTTGACTGTGGAGCCAAGCAAGCTAAAGCTGTTAACAACCTCAATCTCTTCTCTATCATGATGCTGCCACCTGGCCCAGTGGTAAGAATCTTCGTTTTCTTGATGTTGAGCTTCAATCCATATTGAAGGCTCTGTCCTTGACCTTCTGCAGCAAATGCTTCAGGTTCTCAAGGTTATAGGTAATTTGTTGTTGTTGTTGTTATGTGCCATTGAGTCACTTGCGACTCATGGTGACCCTATATTTGGTGTAAAACATGATATAAAATATACCTAAATACATAAGTGCATGTCTATGAATATATGTCAGATGTCTTGTACAAGAGCTTAAAAGCAATGATTTCTCAGTTGACAATAAGCTCACATTTTATACCATTTTCCAAGGAACCGAGCCCCTTGGAGAAATGGCTGATGTTCAGTGTGTTCTGGTAAAGACAACGATGAGCCAGGCTGGCTTGTCTGACAGAGAACACACAAAGTTGTGGCTCTTAGTTGCCCTTGGACTCTGGAACTAAACTCAGTATTCCTGTAGCTCAATTTTAAGTCAAATAATGTTGTTGCGATGGAGTGAAGTATGACTTACGGTTGTGCTATGAACAACAGGTCTGAACCCTGTCCTCTAACAGTCAAACAACAGACAGGTCTGTTGTTTGTTATTGTTGTTGTTATGTACCGTTGAGTCACCTGCAACTCATAGTGACTCTAGGTACAAAGCCCCAAACCCTGCTCTATCCTGTGCCTAAAAGGTGAAAAATAACTCCTGAGGAATGCACTCCTTAGTACGATCAACCATACAAGATCAAAAGGGCAGCTTTTGTCCAGGGTAGGGGGGAAGCTTTGAAGGCAGGAAGGGGTGGGAGAGAGGATTAATGGAAATAAGAGACACACAAGGAAGTGGGGAGTGTAAGTGCAACCTGAGTATTGTAATTAATGTCATAAAACAAAAGGTGCATGGATGCTTGAATGGAAACGTTTGCTTTGTAAACTTTCACTCAAATCACAATTTTATAAAAAGAAGAAGAAAGGAAAAAAAGTAAAGATGAACCTGTAACTTCTTACTGTGCAGTAAAGACAAGCTCATAAAGCAATGGACAATGTTAGAAGTACACAGGAATCTGCTTGAAGAGGCTTCCACTGGGAAATTCTGAGACAATTTAAACTTCAAAATAAAAACGGACACTGGCAGATTATACCCGCCTGTAACAAAATGAAAGTCCATACTGAAAAGGAAATATCTGGAAAGGAGTAAGAAATTGTCTGACCCTCAAAGACCACAGTGCAACAGGTAAAACAGTCCCAGACAAGTAAGAAGAGAGAGCGAGCAGGCACCTCCAGAGAGAGAGCATTGTCCCCTGCGGAACAATGGGCGGCTCCCTGGAGGAGGGGACCCCAGAGAAAGGAAAGGGTCTAACAGGAAGTAACTGTGGACTATACTTCTGAGTAGAAATACTTCCCTTGACAAGACCAGTTTTGTTCATGCTAGGTGTCACACTAAGTCAGGAAAGGGTCTAACAGGAACTCACTGGGGCCCTTTGCGCATCCGGGGCGTGCTCATCGCCCACTGCTTGATGTTTTTCAGGCTCTGCTCACTGATGAGGCGCTGGTCCTCCGAGGGCATGCAGTCCACGTAAAGGTTGTACAGCAGCAGCGCCTCTGTGTTCTTGCGCAGGGCGTGCGCCTCCACCACGCGCTGCGCGAACACACGAGGGTCCTCGGCGCAGAACAGGAGCTGGATCCGGGGCACCCAGTACTGGCAAGCCAGAAGAGGGGGCCTTCCTGGGGGGCAGACGGAGGGAGATGGGGGGAGCGCACCGCGTTATTGCTTCTCTGAAGGCAGAGCTGCCAGCCCAGAGTAAGAGAATCCAGGGAGGTACATTATCCCTCCTGAATGTATGAGGGGTGGAACCTCTGCTCTGGTGGGTTAGACGACTTTAGGGTGAACTGAATACAGACAAGAGAGAAAGCAGATCCAAGCTGGGTGCCCCTTGGGCAGACAGTGATCTGGGGACCTGGGGCAGGGGTAAAGAGCTTATACCTTCAGGGGTGACTCCTCCATTCCGGATGGGCCTCCCCGTCTCATCTCGCACCAAGCCATTCTCATCCGTCTTGTGCACCAGGTAAAGCTTTGTCTCCTCGTTGTAGTCAAGTACGCCAACACTGCACCACTCGTACTTCAGGTCTCTATTCTTAGGGTCCTCTGAAACGGGACAAGAAACCCCACCAGTACTCCTCCCTTTAGGATTTGGGGGTGGAGAGGTGGAGGGCTGGAACTAGGGATGGTCTCAGAGGTCTCCGACCTGGCCTCTCTCCTATGGGGATAGAACCCCTCTGGCTCCAGCAGGGTCAGGGCCCTGCTTCCTCTCAGCTGAGCCAGCCTCTGAGAAACAGCCCACCTACAACAGAGGTGGTATCCTGGATCAGGCTTATGGTATTTGCACTTTGCATGAAGGTATTTGGGGGGGGGGGACAGTTAGATAGACACAAGCTGACAGGGTTGGGCCAGTCCCTTTAAGATGATTAAGACCAGAGTCTCTAGGCCCTTCACAGCCGGACAGGACACAAGAGGAGGCTTCAGCTCTGCAATGGGCTCAGAGTGGCCCTCAAGGCCTGCTTGGCCAAAACAGGGTCTCCACCAACTCCTCAAGCTGAGAGCCTTTGCCTACTTCTCCGAATCACCTCCTCCCACTGCCTCCCTGGTATATTTCTCTCCAACCACAATGAACAATCCAGCCTGCTCCTGCCTCAGGGCCTTTGCACTGGCTGTGCCCTCTTCCTCAGGTCACCTCACTGTTGGTTTCGTCCCTGCTCAAGTGACCTCTCCTTGTTCAATGGAGTAATATAAGACTGTTATTTGTTGTGTACTATAGAGTTGGAATTGACCCATAGCTGACCCTCTGTCGGGTTTTCAGAGGCAGTTAATCACACAGGAGATTGCCCATCCATCTCCTATAGAGCAGCTGGTGGCCTTGAACAGCGTGTCTTTGGGATTGCAGTGTAGCTGCTTTCCACTAGGCCTCCAGTGCTAGCACCTGGAAATACCTTTTGCGAAAGGACACTCTTGGACAACTAAGGGACACAATAACAGCCTTATACTAATGTAACATTTTTATAATATCTTGAGAGAAATAAAGGACTTTTCGTCCATCAGAGTTATCAAACGAAAGCCCCTTGTTGGCCTTTCCCGTCTGTTCCCATAATCAATGTCTGGGAGCTACTACCCTTCAGTCACATGTGAATCACACCAACTGCCTCCTTATCTATTGAAAAGATGGGATCAACCAGTCCAAGCATGGCCACTGACCAAAGAAGTCCTCAGAACAAAGGAGGTCCTGTAAAAACTCCTCCCACCCGTCTTGTCCCTCCAGGACAGCAAGATTTAGGAAGCTCATACTCCTAGCTCCTATGTTGTTGCTGAGTACCATTCAGTCGGCATCGACTCACACCTGACCCGCCAGTAGGTTTTCAGAAGCACAGAAGGAGACTGATCATCTTTCTCGTATGGAGCAGCTGGTGGTTGGGAACCTCGAGACTTTGGGTTGGCAGCCCAACTCCTAACCACTAAGCCACCAGAGCTCCCTCTGTCTCCTATATGTTGTTGTTGCTGTTGTGAAGTGCTATCAAGTACAGCTTATAGCGACCTTAGTGGACAACAGACTTCAACCCTGTCCTACCCTGTGCCAACCTCATCATCTCTTGAGCCCATCAGTGCAGTCACTGTGCCATGTCACTGGGAGGTCTTCCTCTCCTTCCCTGACCCTTCACCTTTCCAAGCATGATGTCACTTTCCAAAGATAGCCAACAGTATGTCCAAAGTCGTGGCCTCGAAGGAGCACTCTGTTCTTTCACAAGACATATCCGTTTGTCCTTTTGGCAGTCCATGGGACATTTCTCTTCTCCAGCATCACAACTCAAAGGCATACATTCTTCTTCTGCCATCCTTGGTCACTGTCCAGCTCTCTGGTGTGTAGCAGGTGACTGAGAAGGCCAGGGACTGAATCAAGCACACCTTAGTCTCCTATATACTGGCAATATAACAAGATTTCTGCTTTTACCAACTCCAAGATTGGTGTTTCTGGAGGCAGGTGGCAGAACCATGGCTTTGCGGTAACATTTCTTTAACAGTACCTTGCCTTCAGTCATTCTGTCTGGATACCTTGGTTGTCCCCTCCAGCCTGTCCCTGTCTAAAGTGGTCTGATGTGTGAGTCATATCCGCCCCCTCCCATGAGCATCAGCTATAAGATGGACTGGATCCATCACAGTGAAAGCTGTGTCCCTTGTGCCTAGGATGACAGGTAGTCATAGGACATGGTCCCTAGGTGTGTGTGTCAGGAAGGGGCAGAGGAACCGGTGCTCAGCAGAGCAGGACCCCGGACTGGCTGCTTGATTTCGTTCTTGACACTGGCTATGTGGGTGAAAGAATGATGCTGTACACCTGCTTCAGTGCTTGGTTTTACTGTTCCCTTCCTTTCCTACTAAGTGTTCGTTTTTAAAATGCTGGCTTTGTCTTGCAACAACTTAAGAGGAAAAGATGCTACAGGAAGTCATAGTCAGATCTGCTGTCTCTTGCAGAGATACTGTCTGTCACACGCCACACACACACAGCCTTAGGAGAGACGCTCAGGAAGAGATTTGAGCAGGAGCACCTCTGGGGAAGCTGGAGATCAGTGCACTTAAGGTTAGTGAGGCCCCAAACCTTCTGGTTTTATCACCAGGAATTGGGGATCTGGGAACAATTGAGCTAAATTATTTTTGTAATTAAATCCAAAGCAAAGGGAACAGTCTGGGCTTCTTGTCTAGTTCAGAGAAATTGATTCTAGCATTAGCATGCTTTGAAACGAGACTCAAATTTACAGCTTGCTCAGTGGGGCTCAATGTGGGCCTCTCCCTAGAGACTATGTTAAATTCTTATGTGCCGTCAAGTCAGAGCCAACTCATAGCTGACCTTCCAGTTTTCAGTGGAAGGATATCACACGGGAGGAGACTGCCCATCTTTCTCCTGCAGAGCTGCTGGTGGATTCAAACTGTGTACCTTTGGATTGGCAGCGTAACTTCTTTCCACTAAGCCATCAGGGCTCCCTTGAGGCTAAGTAGTTTTAAAAGCAAGCAGTCCCTGCTCTCACAAGCCTGCCGTGAGCAGGGGCTCGGGGCCCAGGTCCCACTCCATGATATCTCATCCACCCCTCAGCCAAGCATAATGCTCTCTAGTCTCTCCCAAGTTATGTAGCATTTTTAGAAATCATTGCTCCTGATATCCCATTTGTTTTGATTTCTTCACACTCTAGTGCAAGTCTCAGAGTCTTTTCACTTTAATACTGGTTTATTCTTCCTGTCCTGGCTTTGTAATGACTTTTGCTTTCTTCATGGATGATGCCCTTGATGTCATTCCACTGACATCGTCTGAGCTTTGGTTATTAGTATTCAATGCATTAAATCTACTCTTGAGATTTTGTTTTTAATTCAGTTGAGACAGGTTCAAGGTAATATTTTCTTTTTTGTGGACTTGTTTTTATTTTCTTCAGGTTTAGTTTGAACTTGCCCATGATTAGCTGATGGTTTATTCCATAGTCAGTCCTGGCCTGGTTTTGACTGCTGATACTGAGTTTCTCCATCAGCTTTTGCGCAGATTCCTGTGGCCCATCAGGTGAGGTCTATGTGTATAGTCACCATTTATGTTTTTTAAAAAAAGACATTTTCAATTAATAAATCATTGCTTGTAAAAAATTCAGCCATTCAATTTCCAGCTTCATTTCTGTCATCATGTCCATATTTTCTAACTACCAAACCTCTTTCTTTGTTTCCAACTTTTGCATTCCAGTCACCAATTATTATTAATACATCTTGATAGTATATTAGATCAATTTCAGGCTTAACCATTTCAGGAAGTAACATATGATCAAGAATCAATGGTAATGAAGGGAGAAGTTCAAGCTATACTGAAAGCACTGGCAAAAAATAAGACCCCAGGAATTGATGGAATACCAACTGAAGTAAGGTTTGTATTCTTTCTCCATACCTATTTAATCTGTATACTGAACAAATCATTTGAGAAGCTGGATTATATAAGAATACTGTGGCATCAGAACTGGCATTATCAATAACATGCATGCATCAGTAACATGAAGATGACACAACCTTGCTTGCTGAAAGTGAAGAAGGCTTGAAGCACTTACTGCAGAGTATTAAAGACTACAGTCTACAATATGGGTTACAAATCAACATTAAAAAAATAGAAATCATCACCACTGGACCAGCAGACAACACAACAACAGATGGAGAAAATACTGGAATTGTCAATTATTTCCTTTTACTTGGATTCACATCAATACTTCTGGCAGCAGCAGTCAAGAAATCAAAACACATATTGTTTCGGGAAAATCTGCTATTAAAGACATCTACGAAGTGCTAAAGAGCAATGATGTCTGTTTAAAGACTAAGGTGCAGGTGCACTAAAGCCAAGCCACAGAATTTTCAATTGCTTTGTATGTATTTGAAAGTTAGACAATGAATAAGGATGACCAAAGAAGAATCGATGCCTTTGAATTGTGGTATTGGTGAAGAGTAATGAATATACCATGGGCTTCTGAGAGAACAAACAAGTCTCTCTTGCAGGAAGGAAGGGAGGGTGCAACTTTGTCTCATATACTTTGGGCATGCTGTGAGGAAGGGCCAGGCTCTGGAAAAAGACAGTAAGTTGAGAAATGCAGACAGATGGTCAAGGAAAGGCGATGAACTCAAAGGGATAAACTGGCACAGAGCCTGTAACAACGGGCTCACGCGTGTCCGTGTTCATGAGGATGGCTTGGGACAGGGCAAGGTTCTGGTCTGTTCTTCTTAGGATTCCTATGAGTCACAGTCCAGCACCTAAAAACAATTGGCAGAGCCTCTCACCAATGGCTTCCCAGTCTCTGCATTTCCTGTCTGCATGTGGTCAGCCCTTTGGATGCACCACAGCTGGGAGGCCTGGAAGGATAAGGTCCTGTTCCGCTCCCTGCAAAGCTGCTAGGCCAGGGAAGCCCAGGGGTCCTCGGGAGGGTTGCAGCCCCCAGGCAAGCCTGGCTTGCTCACCGTGCCCCAGGAAGTCATCAGTGGGCAAGAGAGCTTTTCCAGGGACGGGCTTCCTTTCCTGAGATCCTGGCTCCAAGCCCAAGTTAATCCACTCCTGGGGTGTCCGGCAGTCAAACTCCTCATTGTCGAACACCTAGAGGAGAACAGGCAGATGCTGGGACAAAGAGGCTTACCCCTCTCAGGCCTGGGGGCTAGGGGTGGCTGGGGATCCAGAGGACAGGGTATGCAGGTGTGTCTTCCCCAGACGAGGCAGCTGCAGGCTGGACACCAGGGCCTGGGCCTTCCCTCTGTCGTCTACAGGGGCTCAAGGGTCTGGCTGTGCGAAATCCACACACCCAGGTCAGCCAATTCACCCCTAGACTCAGGCAGAGGGACGTCTGGAGACTCAGAGAACAGGATGTGAGCTCTCCTCCTCCATTGCCCAGGACTGTCTAGCTTAGGCCAAGAGATGAGGTTTGTGCTTCTGTCACATGTCAGTGAGTCCATTCCTACTGATCGGATCTTACAGGACAGAGTAGAATCAAACCACCCCATAGGATAGGTATAATCTTTTTTAAAAAATTTACTTATTTTATTATTTTGTGTGTGTGTGTACCATCAAATTGGATATGATTGGTACAAGAGGAGATTGCCCCTCCTTTTCCAGCAGAGAATCTGGTGGATTTGAACCACGTATCACTGTGATTGCAGTACACTTGCCACTAGGCCACCAGAGCTCCCTAGGATATATATAATCTTTAAGGAAGCCAACAGAATGGGCTGGCGGGTTCACACTTGGGGACCTCTTGTTTAACAGTCGAGTGCTTAACCCCTGTGCCACCAGCGCTCGATGAGAAACTAACCCTTCCAGACGTCTGACTTCTGACTAGATGGCTGGTCAGATGTCAGCAGGTATTCAGAGTCATCAACATTTGGAGTCAGTGTGTCCTGCTCACAGGGACCACCAGGCAAGAGACTCTCAGTCAGGGTCACAGAATGGAAAGGCTACGGCGCAGGGAAAGCCAAAGCCACCTTCTTTTCCCCAGACTCAGTTTCCCCAAGACTCTGGATCCCAGATAGGATGCACTAATACCTGTGCCCACCAGCTTGGCGAGCCTGGCGGAGGTGCCCAGCCCAGCAGGCCGCGGTCGGGGAGCCCTGTGCACTGGCTGCCCTGTGGCATCACTGCACTACCTCCAAGTGCCCACGGGTCGAGCCTGGAAGTCAGGCTCACAGCCTCCAGGTGCCCAAGGAAGACAAGGAATCCCCGCCTCTGGATCCCAAGGCCCCTCAATCCCCACTTTAGGATGCTCAAGGCACCTGGGGTAGGTTCTGTTACTCAATTACCCTGTTTAGTAAGTGGGTGCTTGAGATAAGCATAGGACCCCTTTTGAACCCTGCACCCCCACCCCCTGTACAGTCCAGACTCACCTTCAGTGGGAGGTAGATAGGGAAGAGTGGGTCTTGACCCTGTTCGATAGTCTGGGGGTTCTGGGGGTCTGGGTGCCTGGGCATGAGCTTGTTAGAGTCGATGCCCTCTTGGTTAAGCAACTTCTCGATGTCCAGACTCAGGTACTGTCGCTTCCTCCTGGCGTGGGCAGGGAGAGGGTCACTGTGCGTGGCACCTCAGCTCACACGCGTGTCAGCAAGGGTCAATAGGGCCATGGCAGTGGGGGTGTGGCCAGGGATTCCTCCAGGCCTGCCTCCTTCTGAGACACAACAGGAAGTAGTGGGGTGGTGAAAGCTGGTGTCTAGGGTCCTGGGAGCCCCAATTCACTGACTCAAAGACATTCTCCCTGACTCCATGGTGAAGAAAGTGAATTTTCCCCACCAGACGACAGGAGGGCTGGAAATTTCTATCTAACCATGTGTACCCACATGCAAACAACAACAGAAATCCAAGTCACCATCAAGCCAATTCCAGTTCCTGGCAACCTCACGAACACAGACTATCGTAATGACCTTAGCTGTGGCGACTGCCCCCTCGTTGCCCACAAGCCCTCTGCCTCTGCCACCTTCCCCTAGTCAGGTGGATGCCAGGCCCCTCCCAGAGCACATGCCCCAGCCGGTACCTCTCAATCTCAATCTTGCGGGGACATTGGCCGGGCAGCACCTGGAAGGGCACCTGCACCTTGGGCTCGTAAGCCTGCAGCGGGAAGTCCGTCTGCGTGAGCAGCTGGGTGGTGGACCCGATGCTCTGCTCCTCCAGGAGATGCTGGAAGTCCTCTGGAAGCTTAAAGGTCAGGACTGTGGGCAGAGACCGAGATGAGGCAGGGAGTGAGGCCTGGATCCGCTCCTGTCCCTGAAGCTTCAGAAAGGGGAGGTACCCGGTACACGCACTGTAGACACAAGAAGCCCACTTGGCGCCTTGCCTGTGACCAAGCTTCAGAATAAAGAAGACAGGCGCAGCACCAGGCGCTCGGGGGACCGAGCCTGGATGGCCAAGAACCTCCAGAGGATCTGTTTGGTTTTGGGTTTTTTTTTTTATCTTATTAACAGTACTTGTTTATCTTTCCTCAGTCAAACCCTGAGCCAATCACTTTCCCCAGGCTGCCTGGGGAGTTACAGGGAAAGGAACACATAGGGTAGACAAGACATGGGGAGAGAAAACGAACAAACTATGGGAGGTGGAGACGGCTCCTTCACATGGCGAAGAGGATCAGAAAAATATGGAACGCTTCACGAATTTGCGTGTCATCCTTGCGCAGGGGCCATGCTAATCTTCTCTGTATCGTTCCAATTTTAGTATATGTGCTGCCGAAGTGAGCACCAGAGGATCTGTTTTGCCCCTGCTCTCCCTGCCCAGAGCCAGCACACTTGACCATTTGTTCCTAGGCCACTCAGGACCCCAGAAGCACTGGTACTGCCCCATGTGTGGAGTTAAATAAATGGGAGGGTTACACATGGCCAGGAAGAGAACGTGATAACTTCCTGTGTAGCTGGGTAAATCCCTGCTCCCCTAATTCTAAAAGCCTCCAGTATATCAGGCCATTTTCAGGCTCAAGGCATCCGGGATATGCATAGGAATAAGGCAGCACCACCATCCTGGCCCCAAAACTGCTCACGCTGACTTGAGAGACAGAAGGCATCTTTCCCTAACTCAGGCCACCCTAGTTTCCCATCTGCCCCTGGGGACTGTCTCACACCCTGCAGAACTGTCAGAGTCCTTACCTCCAAGCTGTGCTCAAGACTCATTACAGAATCTGAAGAGTACCTCTTTACCTTCAGCAAGATCTCCTGCACACCTACCTGCACCAGGTCCTGTTCAAGACGTGGGGCACAGCACGGAACAACTCAGAAACTTCCCTGATCCCTTCCAGTCAGTCCCATGACACAGGGGAGATGGAGAATGCATGTAAATACCCTACCCTAACAGCCAGGCAAAGAGAGCTGTGGCCCGACCCCCAGTGGTCACAGCTCACCACAGGGCTTTCGTCCCGACTCTGCTAAAATCAATGATAATGTAGTTGGGTCCTTATGAAGCACTTTGCCCCTGTCATTCCCATTTTACAGCACAAAAAAAATTGGGGCCTTCAGCTGAGCAAAGAATGTCTCCTTGAGCCCTGGGCTGTCTCCTGAGCACTAACCTTTTGGGGTGAAGTTTTCGAGTTCAGACTGCCACAGGAGGTTCTGCTGCATGCTGGGGCCACCACAGAGGTCCTGAAACCAAAGCCAGGCCCTGAGAGAGAGTGGGCACCACTGGGAGAGCCAAGACCCTGCGAGGTACCCAAGGTGCCTTCCAAGAAGTCCACTGAAGGCATGCCAAGAGAATGGGATGGTGACGGTGGCGGCGGTGCTGTGCGGGACCTGACGGTTCCCACAGTTCTTTGTTCGATGGCCACAGAAGGTGAAAAGAGGCCACGGTCCACCTAGGATTCCTTGGTCTCTGCCCCATTCCAATTGGGCACAGCTCCCTCCTCTTTCTGAGAACACACCCAGTACATGTCCAGGGGCTGCGCCAAGGAACATAGGTGTGACTAGACCAGCAAGTGTCTCAGTGGGTACTCACCTCCTGAGGGCCACTCTTTACAGTCTCAATTTGGGATTATCAGTGAGTCTTCTGCCCAAAAACTTTGGGTTTTGGTTTTTTTAATTTTTATTTAATTAATTTCCCTTTTTTGTTGTGTACCGTCAAATCGGATTCAACTGGCACAGAAGGAGATTGCCCCTCCTTTTCCAGCATAGCATCTGGTGGATTTGAACTGCACACCTTCAGGATTACAGTCCAGCTTCTTTTCCACTAGGCCACCAGAGCTTCCTGATGCCCAAAACCTTTGTAAGGCTGCTTTGGACCACCCTATGGACTCTGTGAACACCTCCCCCAATTGTCTCCTCCCCCATCGTGCCCTTCTGCACCTCCATCCTCATCCCTCTTTATCTGCCTCACATTCTCCCATCCTTAAATGGGCCCAACTCAACCCCATGTCTGTGAGCATGCACTTCCCCCTACTGGAACACTCCCACAGCCCCTACTTTGACCAGCAAACGCATACCTATCTCTTATATCTCAGCAGGATGCCTCCTCGCTCAAAAAGCTCTTCCCAATCAGAGCTGGGGTCTCCTTCAACAAAGTCATGGTAATAAAGTGTCTCCCGTAGGAATTCAATAATGAGTTGTTATATGGATTGTTGAAAGGACAGGTGATGGATGGATAGATGGCTAGCCAAAGGAAGAACAGATGAATGAAAGGTGGATAGATGAACAGATTGATGTAAAATGGGTAGGTGAATAAATGGATAAGAATGAATAAATTAATGAATGGAATGGTGGATGAGTAACAGATGACTGAGTAGTTGATAAGGGATGGATGGATGGATGGATAAATGGATGGATACATGCATGGATGCATGGATGATGGATGATGGATGGATGGATGATGGATGCATGGATGATGGATGGATGGATGGATGGATGGATGGATGGATGGATGCATGTATGCATAGATGGATAAATGGATGCATGGATGATGGATGCATGGACGATGGACGATGGACGATGGATGATGGATGATGGATGATGGATGATGGGTGGATGGATGGATGGATGAATGGATGAACTAATGAGTGGAATCCACAGGAAGTATTCCACGTTGAAGAGGACAGCTGTCCACTCACCCCCAGTTGATCCAAGGCTTCAGGGTTGAGAATGTCAGAGTAGAATCCACGCTGCTTCATCAATGGGTACTTCTTACTTGTGCCTGCCCCGGGTAACTTCCGGGACTGCCCCATGTCTGAGGATAAGGATGCAGCCGAGGACATGAGTAAGGATGAGGAGTTGGGGTCAGGGTCTGGAGGAATCCTTCTTGATGAATTATCTGTTCCCAGAAGAATCTTCTCGAGGTTGGACTGCAAACCTACATAAGTGGTCCCAAGGGTGTCCTCCCCGATTGGACAAGTGCTTCCCAGGCTGCACTGTGGGTCCTGAGGGCTCCTTTTTGGGTTGCCTTCTTTCTTGGGTAGCTCCATGCTGCTTCTCACAGCAATACCCCAGCCAGAGCTCCTAAAAGAAAACGATGGTGTCACTTGGCTCTTGCCGGCCTTGCCAGCCCCAGGGGCCCCATGATACAGGAATGCCTAATTACCTCACTGTAACAAGCTACATAACAGAAGAGAGGGTCGAGAGAGGTATGAGTGGCTTTCTCCTAATCAGGACAGACATTTGGTGCCAGGAGAGCCCTACAAGGAGACAGTGGGGCCTTCCCTGAGATGCTCCCAGGGAGAAATGAGCCTGCAGAAATGTGAGCTCAGTAATGGGAGGGCTTGGGACCTGGGGAGTACGCAGATTTCTCTCTTCAGGGCATCCTTCTGTACTTCAACACCTCTTTCCTCCACATTAGAGATGAAAGTCTAGCTTCTCAGCATAGCGGGCGAGTAGAGGAGAGTAGCCCAGAACTCACTCACTCAATGAAGAACTCTTTTGTTTAATCCCAAAATGACTTTTGGCCTGAGGCAGCCCCTGTGCTCTGCTGAGTCCTGCAGGACTACTGCCTCCCTCTGGTGCTCTTTGAGCCAGCCCTGGCTCCCCTATCCTTGCCCATCCCATCCTGTGCCAGCCTTGGGATCTAGGGGACAAGCTGGATGTCCCAGTGGAGCCTCCACTGACACACCCTTCCTACTGACAGCGCAGAGCATTGGCCCGCTCTGGTTCTGAGGCCAGTCTAGGTTTTCAAAGCAGACACATACCCCCATTTCAAAATTGCACCAGATGTGCCACTAGGCTGCACTCACAAGCACACCCTAAAGACAATAGCTGGCAGAGGGTTTGCTGTGGGATGAACAGGCCCTGGCCAGCCTGCTGCTGCTGTTTCACCAGAGAAAGAGGCCTCACCAAAGTCCTCAGGCATTTTAAGAGACCAGACAAGGTGTGAGGAAGATTACATTTTCATGTAAAGAGAAAAACAAGCGAATCTACATGTAGGAAGCTCTGGTGGCCTCGTGATAAGAAGCTACACTGCAATCCCTGAGGCACACGGTTCGAACCCACCAGCTGCTGTGCCGGAGGATGGGCAACTCTGCCCCTGCAGTTAACTGCCTCTGAAAACTCACCGGAGGGTCAGCGACAGGTCAGTTTCCAACTTGACGGTACTCAACAACAGCAGCAATCTACACTTAGCTCAATAAGAATTTCAATTAAAAATTAGACATGTATCCAGACAAAATTAAGGAAGCTCTGATGGCCTAGCAGTAAGAATCTGAGCTGCAATCCTGAAGGCATAAGGTTCAAATCTGCCAGATGCTCTGTGTGAAAAAGATGGGCACTCTCCTCCCATGCAATTAACTGCCTCTGAAAACCCACTGGAGGGTCAGCTATGGGTCGGCTGTAACTGGATGATAAACAACAACAACAAAAGCAAATGGGAACTTGGCTCAAGCTTCTCCATCTCCATCCACCCCATGTTCCCACTCCCTCTGCCCCCTGGGACAGGGTTTGCAATATAGGCCTGGTCCCCATCCCAGAGCTGCTTTCTGTCACCACCTCCATTGTAGGCCTCTTCTCTGTGAGGCTGGCTGGGGTGGGCAGAGCAGTGAGGCTTCTGTATGGAAGGAGGGAGGCGGTCTGCAGCAGCACCAGGCCGAGGGTGCAGCGGGTAAGGACTGCCCAGAGCAAAGCTCCCCAGCAGCACCAAAGCAACCGGCAGCTGCTCAGCCCACTTCTAAGAAGGGGCTGATGAGCTGGCAGGGCCCTTTGAAGGGCAGATGGGGTTCTGGCAGGCAGCCCCACCTCCCAGCACAACAGGGCAGTAGCTTCCAGCCAGTCAGGTGTGCCAGGCTCCCTGACAGAGCTTTGTTCCCTGAGTCCACTCCCTGCGGCCAGCCGCTTTCCAGGGCAGGTGCTTAAGTCAATGCCAAGCCTGGCCACCTGTCCAACAGTTACCGGTTGCCGGCCCTTCCCAGAACACCTTAAAGGATGGGGGACACAGCGAGATGAGCCCCATCATGCATTGAATACACAAAGGAGTGCTTTGTCTTTGAGCTAAATAAGCGAGCAGACAGCATACTGATTCTGTATTACAATCGTATGTGGACATCACAGCCCTCCTGCCCTGTGGCACGAGGACTGAAAATGGAGACACTTCCAGGGAACATTCCCTCCTGGAACCTGAGCACCTAGCAGGGGACTGGCTTGGGTTGGCCACACAGTAGATGTCTAAACAATGTGTGCAAGATGGGGCACAAATGAACGGATAGGATGAGAAAGGAAAGACACGACGTTGATCCCTAGGACGACTGACATGCAGTGGTACTCTCCCATTTTACAGGTGGAGATACTGAGGACTAAGGAGTCTCCCCGTGGTCTAGATGAGGAGAAGGACTGGGTTTCTGAGGACCAAGCTGGCTTTTTCCCTGTATGGGCCCTTCACCAGGAGAAGGAAGGGGTGTCACACTCAGCCGTGGACATAGAGTCCCCCAAAATCAATCTATTAACTCCAGACTTTACTTGCAAGGTTGTTTAAAAGTGTTCCCCTTCCTTTCCCACATGCTAAAGTTGAGGGGTGGGGTAAGCAGTGGCACAGAGTTTGAAGCATCTGGGTTGATCTAGACCCATGGATGGGTAGGGACCAGCAGCAAGGATCAAAAGAATGGTCAGCTCGCCCCCTTACCGAGGTCCCTCCCTGCACTCAACCCACAACTTACCAACTACGCAGCTCAGCCGACTGGGTCCTGACCGGTAACTAGGAAGGGACGCTGGCCCGTTGCTAAGGGGAGGGACCATCCAGGACAGCGGGGTGGAGCTTTGCTCCGCGCGCCTCCCTCCACCCATGCCCACCACCCCCTCCTAATGGATGTGAATCCTCCCGCCCCCAACTGGCAGTAACCCCCACTTTCCACCCCCAGAGTAGGCTGGGGCGCTCCTCAGGACGACCATCACCTCTGGTAGAGGAAGTGGACCTGCATAGATGTCAGTCTTCTACACTCTCAAACCCCAGATCCGTTATTTGCCCCCTTTCTAGAGGGGGTTGGGAGAAGAGACAAAACAGTCAAATACAGTATCAGAACCTTTAGTGAATCCTGGACTGTCTTTGAAAAACACTAGGTAAATTATTTAAGGGGAATAATTGGGGAAATTCACAGATGAGTAGGTCATGTTTAAGCCCCTGCTGTTGGACAGTCTGGAGACCCTGGTGAATCACCGGTAGAATTCTAACCTTCCGTAGCAAAGGTTCAGTTTGTGCGCACTGCACCTCACGTGTAGCCACTATCTCTCTGTCAGTGATAAGGTCTGTTGCTGCAAGGTTGAACAGATTTCAGCAGAGCTTGGAGACTTCAGATAAACGAAGTAAGGCCTGGTAATACGCTCTCAAAAATGGACCAGGTGCAACCACTGTGGAAGGCGGTATGGCGCTTTCTCAAAAAGTTGCAAATAGAGATACCATTTGACCCAGCAATTCCACTACTGGGAATATACCCCAAAGAGAACATAACCGACATCCAAGCAGATATATGCACACCCATGTTTGTTGCGGCTTTGTTCACAATAGCGAGGAGTTAGAAATAACCTAAGTGCCCATCAACAAACGAATGGATAGAGAAGCTGTGGTATGTTCACACAACGGAATACTACGCTGCATTGAAAAGCAAGGAACTCATGCAATATTATTCAAAATGGGTGACTCTGGAGGACTTTATGCTGAGTGAAGTATCTCGGTCACAAAAGGACAAATACTGCATGGTGCCACTGTTGTAAAACAGGACTGACCTTGGGGTTGGGGAGAGTCTGAGAAAGATGGGTTCGATAATGTATACTACATTGAAACAGATGAGGGAGAAAACTAAAAGGAATATGTGATTAGGTACTTTTGTCATGACAGGCATCTAGAGCGAAG